CTGTCACAGAGTACATTGGAACACTAGCAACAGCATTAATTAGACTACAATTAGGATAGTCTTTCTAGTTTCAGTTATTTAATCTGTGCTTTATCTTTTGAAAGGTTTTTGAACCTTTGATTGTACTGACCTACTTTATAAAATATTCGCAGTTATTGTTTTGGTCTATTATCGCGGCACACCCGGCTCATGTGAAAAAAAACAACAACAAACAAACGGCTCAACGAATAGCAGCCAAGTCTGGGGACCCACTGTAACTGTATTTTAATCATGAGCACAGCAGCCAACAGTCCCCCACGTCGGTCCCCAGGTTCACTCTCGCCCATATCTGTGCACATGGCAGCACGTTCTATCTGCTAAATCTGAATCCACACGCGTGTGCTGGGCGATTGTGAGAGTAAGTGGGGGCACGCGTACCTCTTTGTGTGGCCTACTGTCCTGTGTCCTGGTCCTCACGTGGATGCTCCCCAAATGGGAATTTTGAGTCTTGTCCAACATTTTGAAAGCAGGTCACCTAAAGAAGACAGCAAAAATAATGAGTTCTGAGAATTATAATAGCTGGTTACTTTATCAATAGGCCTGGAAAATACATGAATACACGTAATTATCTAAAATGGGCATACATCTAATTTTAAAACCTCAAAAACATAAATTACATTGTAATAAAACGCATCCAAGAGGTTAGTTCTCTCCTATCTCTAGTTTTCACATGCATGTATTTCTTGGCTTCGGTCACATCTTTAGATTTTTCCGAATGGAAAAGTGAAAAAGAGAGGCCTTCCCTACTCAACCGATGGTTCTCTGCTTCCAAAGAGTGAAATTGTATGCAAAAGATGACATGTTTTTTTGTTAGTTTTTTTTTTTTTTTCAAAAAGGGTGAGACAGTATGTTGTGGTCTGATTTATTCACAAAATGTTTCTTTTACAAAACTCTCTCGGGACAAACACAATGTATTATTTAAGGTAAAATGTTAGATACCCTTAGCTTTAAATAGACCAGTGATGGCAGCGTTTATATACTGTATTAGGCAACCTGTTCTCATCCCATGATATATTCCAAACTGTAGTTCTAACATGGATCAAAATAAGCTCTTATCAAGACAATGGACCAACCAAAAAAAAAACCCTAATAAGCAAAGATTTCCGATAAACCAAACCTGTCACCGTCACTTCGCATATCCCTCACATATTTCAGAGCAGATCTATTCAGGGGCATTGTTGTTCAGTATTATTTGCACATATATGCACTGGCTGCGCAAAGGTAGGGGCTTGCTGTTCAGTGGTAAGAAACGTAAGGTTTCTAAGGTCTAAATATTTACAGTCTATGGTCTAAAGTCAAGTCCTCACCAAAGTCGATGGTCCTCCCTCGTTGACGTCTTCCGGAGGCTACTTTGCTAACTCACCATTAGCTTAGCATCGCCGAAGCTAGTCACCACGTGCGATTATGTATACATCTAATGCACATTAATACACACAATCTGGACATAACTTAAAAATAGAACTAAAACCAATTGATTATGCCTGTGACTACTATCTAAACACCAGCATGTATCAACTCTACAGAGCACAGACCTATGATCAGACCATAGACTGTATGGATCAGACCCAAAAGTGACACTCACAGACCCTTGAATGTTTTCCTTTTTGAGAAATTGGAGGCTCTAAAACTAAAGCTGTGTTCTGTTTTTCAACAAACTCTTTATTTGAGATAAATTTGTATTTTTGAGGCCTACCTCAAAATATTTGCTTTAATAATTTGCTAATACTGAAAACATGCTTAGATGTTGTGTATACAGTATAGGCCTCATAAGCCCGTTCACCCAATGAGGTTCCACAGGCCTTTCCTTTCTGCTGCTGTCAGACTGTACAACGAGCAATGCGGTCTATACTGCCGACCTGACCTCACGTATCTCACACGTCATGCATAATTTTGAATACTAGAATGTGCAAAACGGGACCACAAGTGCCCACTGTCACTTTATTCCGTCACTTTTACCCCAGAACCTTATGCTGCTAAGTGCTAACAAGTACAGCAGATTCATCACTGTGAATGTTGGAACCATGTTGGAGGCCAGAGCTATCTTGCACTAGAGTAATTTGTTCTTATGAAGAAAAAGATACAGATTCAATTTTTATTTTTTTATTTTTTTAAAGTATAGAGTTGTGCTGGACATAATATCCACTAACTTGTGGTGTGCGCTCCTCATTCCTAATGTTCTCTAACTGTTCTAACACGTAAATCTTCCCACTGTGGGACAAATAAAGGATTTCTTACTTTTAATCTTAATTTGTATTCTATACTTTAAAAATCTGTTCTGGAAGTTTTTAGTACTTCACAAAAGTGTAGACAGCTATGTGATGTTAGAGAAAAACAACACAATTGACCCTGTGTCCTCCTGTCCTCTGCAGGGCCATGGGGCATTATCAGAGCAGTCCAGCTCAGCCCAGCCCTTATACCTGACCACTGGAACAGGGAGCGGCTGAGTATCTCCGACCACAACACACCGACTTGAGTGAGGAAACAGGAGGCATAATCAGTGTGGAGACAGCACAGTGGTACGCTGCATGAGACTTCACGGGTCCAAGCGCATGTTCTGAAGCCTGGCACTTCTGCAACATCCGGCTATAAATCTCTTGTGACACAGCAAACTGAAATTATGAGCCAATCTTCTTACAACAGACAGGTTTGATCTGAAAAGAGAAATCAAGGGGGAATTAAAACATAAATAAGTAAGATTCACGCTGTGCTTTGACAGCGTGAATCTTATTATTTATTACACTAGGCTCTACAACTAAAGATGCACTCTATAAGATTGTCTCAGTTTGAATGTACAGTTTATATATATATATATATATATATATATTTTTTTTTTTTTTTTTTTTTGCAGATAGATATTAAAGGCACCTGTCAGCCCTGCCAGTGAAGGCTGTTGTCTGACAATCTTTTGAGGTTTAACTTCAGGTTAGAAGAATATGGAGAAATTCCCAAGTGAAAGTCTGCTTCCTTTTGTGGTTCATCTTCACAAGACTCCTCCCTTAGGTCTGTGTAATACCGCAGTTTGTTTGACACTTACAGCTCTGCCACACCATCTTTAGTATACCACATATCCTGTTATGCCCCAATTATTATACTTGGATATTCTTGTAATAATTCCAGAGGGACAATACAGTATATGGGTATCTATATTTGAGGCACTGTGGTGGACCAGGCTGCAGGTGGCTGCTGTTTATGGGCAGAGTAAAGATAACCAGAAGTCTGGGGATATAACAATCTCAGGAGACATAAGCGAAGCTCATTTATTTCAATGTTGTGGGACACTAACATGTGTCCTCAAGTGTTCCCTAGAGAGAGCTGCTGCAACTTCTTTTTGTTTTGTTTTTTTCTCTCAGTCAGTTGCATTAATTTTAAAGTTATAGTACAATATAGATTCACAATCAGCAGAAAGGGAGGAAAACACTTGGCGGGAAACTCTTGATAAGCCCCTGACATTAGTGTAACAGACCCTTTATGAGTGTGACGTGTCACATGTTACAAGTGAAAGTTGAGGATTTGAATACTTCAGTCATTTGAATGTCAAAGAAAGATTTGACTCCTTCATTTGTATTAGTTGTATTCATCTCTTTATAAACATAGATTTGCAAGAAATAAATATCTTTTTTTTTATTGTGTTTATTTGCATTTCCATTCAACCCTCTCCTGTTGTACATATTTTAGTGGTAGGGAGGAAATCTCCACAGACACAGGGAATGCATGCAAACTCCATAGAAAGGTCCTGGTGATGGGATTGAACCCAGGACCTTCTCGCTAAGAAGCACAAGTGCTATCCACTGCACCACTCTGCCCATAATAGTAGTATTATGTAAGATTTCTGGAATAAGATTAATCAGAGCATTAGCACTTCTATGTGAATAAAATAGACATTTAACACACAGGTGTAATAAAAACAAGTCACTTTTATTACTAGGCAGTAGAAAAGTAAAAAAGTATGAAAACTTGGCATGTATAAATGTATTTAGAAAATAGTTTCTGCATAAAAGCTATATATTTATTTTAAAAAAGGCATAACTTGTATAAAAAGATTGTCTGCCAGGTGTCTGGCATGGTGTCTACAGCAGTTATAAAAGTCAACAGGTTGATTGTACCCACATTATACAATATATATAAAAAACAGTTTAGTAAACATGGGCTTTAGGAGAACGATACAAAAGATTGTGTTTGTCTTAAAACACTTTCCAAGTGCAGCTTGGCATTGCTCTGACTGATAAAGCTCAGTAAGACTAACAAGACTTGTCAATTTAGCAACATACTGTCCACATATACACATAAAACATATACTATTTTCCTCAGGGATACTGTAAAGGCCAGAAATGATCTCAAAGTTGAAATGAAAATTATAAGCTTGTTGCCAATTTGGTAATACTAAATAGGCCAGGTTAACAGTGTGCAGTGAACTTGCAGACCAGTCCTAGCTCAGCAGTAAGTGTTGACTTAAACACTTGAAATTATTAGTAGACCAATTACTGACAATGTAAAAAGGCAATAGTTTCAAAACTTTTCAATCAGTGAAAAGTTATTTTTTGAAATAATATAATGCTAACAGGGCTTAAATACTTTACTTAAAACACTGCTTTAATGGCCAATTGTAGAAAAATGAAATAATATTAAAAGACAAGACATAATTAATATAAAAGGAATAAATTAAATTGTTCTTATATTAATATACATAACAATTAATAATACAGCCCAATGTATATTATAGTCACCAATTCCCATTTACAATACAATAATGTTAACACAGACGCAAACAAAACGACCAAAACAAGTACATTTATATAAAAAACCCAAAGCAAACTTTCTATAAAAAACATAAAAAATAGTCTTTGGTTGTGAGCGTAAAAAAATCCATTCCTGTGGGCCCTTCTCCCAACGTTGTACCACACAGAGTTCACCTGTGGCACTGTAGATGCAGCAGCAGTACAGGGCTGGGCTTTCTGAGGTCTCTATATGACCAGTGTCTGTGTGGGGAAAGTGTTCCGGTATTTGTGCTCAGGCAATAGTGAGGGGTCCTCTGTTTTTAGATTGGCCACATGGTCCCAAGAACTCAGCTGCTGTTGGAGCAAATCGTTTTTGGTCAACAACTATTAAATGTAACTGTACTGATTGATATGTATACGTAGTGTGTTTACAAACCTGGAGTAGGCTGTCTGTTTGTCTGTGAGAGACCAGGTGATAGCTTTTGTGTACATCTTCACTTAGTAGTGCACTTGTTAGCATGTCCTACACACAGAGATAATGCATTAGTAAAATACCAAGAGACATACACTACATATAAGAATAAATATTACAAATACACACAGTACAAATTCACATAGCATACAAATGTAATTCAGCTGATTTTTTCATTGACTACTATTAGATTAACATTACTATAAATGTAATCAAGAATATGCAGTATCAACAATACGGAAAACAGCATATATTTACATTTTTAAACAAATGGACTACAGTATTGTATTTACGAGATGACACATAGTATTAATGTGCTTACAGGCACTTCTTGTGGGGGTCCCGTGGGGGAAAAGAGCTGTGTGTGGAGGTCCTGTCCTTCCCACTGCATACACGGGCTCCTCTCACACGGGGACTCCACCTACAACACAAAGAGTTCAGAAGTGTCAGAACAAGTTACATTAAACAAAAACTTCCGGTTTATCTTGTTTAATATGTACTTTAAAGGGCATTTTTGGAGTTATGTGTTTAATAATAATACCTCTTGCTTGATTTTCTTCAGAGGAGGCTGGTCAATCGCACACTCTACTGGCTCCTGCTTTATAGAGTCAACCAATGGCTGATCCAAAGGTGAGTTCTGAAAATAATTGCATTTTTTCTTCAATACAAATGTACACACAAAAAACATGATTGCGTTTGCTTGATGTTTTCAATTATTTCCTCACCAGCATGGCTATTGTTGACCTGAACGGCGTTGGTGTAAGCGGAGACGACTCAAGGATTGACCGGCAAATGTTGGGAGTCCTGAACCTGTAACAGAAAACATTGTTGATTAAATCCATTTCGCCACAAAATTGCCAAAACAAAGGCCAGAGTCACTTACATGTCATTATCTTTCTGGGGCCGGACGCTGTGGTCAATGAGAGGTTTGGTATCCACAGGTGAAACCATATGCACACTGTCGCTGTCTGAGTGTTCTGGGCTCATGGAATGTGTGATCAACTGTAAAACAAATAATATTTAATACATAAATAATAATGAATGAAGAAAAAACATGTGTGGTAAGAGAATTATATGAGTGTATATAGTGGGTATATCTCCACTACTACTACTTATCTCTACGTCTACTTTAATCAGTATGCTTGTCTGATCTTTATTGTCTATCTTAATAGACATAATAGACAATAAAGTTATTTTATTATATACTGGCGAGCAAATTGAGCTAGTATATAAAATGGGTGTTTTGTGGCTGGTTAGGAGCCAGCCCATGTTGACGGTACATTTTTATTGGGCATGGCCTTGTCTGTTCAGGCTGTCTGCTGTAGGCTTCACTCTGAGGAGAGCCTCTGGGGAGAGGGGTGGGAGAGCGCTGACCACATCTACACTAATGACTATGCTAATCTGTTATCTAAGCACAGCTAATCACACAATAAACACTCACAGAGTCGAGGACAGACTCCATAAACTCTGGCATTGAGTTGGTGAAGGCAGGAGTGCTGTGATGGTTGCTGTTGTTGTGGGCTCTTGTGGCTGATGCGCTCCCTTCTGGAAGGTTTTGCTCCAAGGGCAAGGCGGGTGCAGCGGTGTGTCGGTGGTGGCGTATCAACCCGGCCTCTGAACTGTCAGACAAGCAGCTCTGATTGGCCCAGCTCGAGAATGAAAAAGGCAACTGGAAAGAAAGCCAAAATAGACCATCAGAAAAAAATAAAAACTCTCACAAATGACACTATCTGTTGGACCGAATTAGTACAGAAGGCAAAAGGAAGCTAGTACAGCGTTTAGAGGGGGTGCTTGCACAAGGAGCTGAGCCAAGAACCAAATTGGCAAGATAAGGTCCCATTTCATCACTTCTGCAGCAACAGACCCCCAGATGTTTCCTCCCTCTAACACTGAGCGCGGTGCCCATGTCAGAGTGAACAAACATGCATATCAATCAAGCTGTCACAGTAGTAAAAGACTTATTCTTACGGCTTGTGACGGCTGGCCTCGCAACTCGTTCTCTGCCGACATAAGCAACATTTCAATTTCTTTCACTCTCTTCTCTTTATCAGGATCCTCGTCATTATAGTGTCTCTGTAGAAAAAAAAAATGCAACAGGATTTAGACATTCGTACTGAATAATAATAATAATACGAATATTTCACTATCTGTTTTATACCTGTATAGCAGCGGTTCCAGGCTTAGGGATGTTCAAGATGTTTAAATGTAGAGCCATAGGGAAAGGTACCTAGTTATAGAAAAATCAAACCTGTTAATCTTAGTTAGTCTAACCGCAAATTTCCTTGTAAAGCAATGCAAATACACTCACTCTGTGCGCGTCAGGGATGTAAGTGTAGTTGAGTGAGGGAACGGGAGGCAGTTGGGCGTGATTGGGCGAATGGTGGGAGAAAGTCAACATGTGACTTGGTGTCTTGATGAAATTGTGGTTGATAGAAAGAGAAGAGCTGTTGTTCTTTGCGGCGCTCTGGAGATAGCCCTCTTGTTCCACCTTTCGCCTCATGGTGGAATTCCAGTGGTTCTTGATGGCGTTGTCAGTCCTGCATGGCACAAAAAATGAACATTAATACACATATAATTATACTTTGGTCACATTTACAACTATGAGTATTTCTACTTTTCTCAGAGATTCTACTTTTGCAATTTTATTATACTACAAAATTCTAACCAACACACCAATAACTGATACTCCCAACTTCTGTTTTGTAATTGTAGACTAATGCTTCACCTGCCAGGGAGCAATTTGGCGATTTCAGCCCAGCGGTTTCCCAGCTTCTCGTGAGCCTGGTAGATGATCCGATCTTCCTCTTCGGTCCATGACGTCTTCTTCACCTCAGGGTTCAGGTGATTGTGCCACCGCTCGCGACACTGCTTTCCAATACGTCCTTTGAGGTGCTTGGCGATGACGGACCAGCGTTTGGCTCCATATTTCTGGACTAGCTCGATCACCTGAAGATAATTAGAAAGCGGAGGGGGAGATAGAAAGAAAGCAGAGGGGGTAGGAAATGAATGATAGGGTTGGGAAGAAAAGAAAGAAATCCTTAGACTTGTTTGTACTGTATATAGTCATTGTAGGCTTTACGAATCTCACTAATTCTCCCACTCTTTTGCACTTTTTCTGTTAAAACTGAGAACACCTGCTTAGCTGCAATGAGGGAATTTCCAGTGGAACATTAGCCAGAGTGATAATTAATAAAACTGCATCTGGTAGGAAACACAATTCCTGTCTATGCTCAGTGAACATAATACCTTCCTATGTCCTGATATATTTTTTTCATGTAGTATAATGTTGTCTTATTAGAATGCCTTACCCTCTGGTCCTCCTCTTTGGTCCATGGGCCTTTGATAAGTTCCGGGTTGAGAACCTTTTGCCATCGATGTTGGCACTGCACATCTGTTCGGTTCTACAAAATAAAAAAATCAGATTAATAATGACTTAGAATACCTTTTTTAAACGTAGCATTCATTTAGTATCAAACACATTTTCAGACACTTACAGTTAGTAAGCTTGCAATTAGTTTCCAATCGTCTGATCCATGTAGATCAACTAGTTTTTTCAGTTTCTCATCCTGAATAAAAAAGAGAACATGTTTAGATTTGTTGCACATTCCAGGACTCGTTCGTTGATAAGACAATGTCACACAGTCTGAATTATTATGGTTATTAACATGAAGATTATATAATGTAGAAAGAGTAGGTCTTCCTGTGTATTTCATTGAAGTGATGCAATATAAGCTATGACTGATGAAGGGTGCACACCTCTTCTCTTGTCCAGCGCGTTTTCCCAAGCTGTCGTTTGCCCGTCTTGGCCAGAGACCCATCATAATCGTGATCATACAGCTCATTCTCCTCCTCGTCCTCCTCGCTGCTGTAAACACTGGGAGAGGACATGCAAATGATCAGAAATGTGTATAAAATGTTTCAACCCAAAAAGCTAATCATACCACTGTTATTTTCTATTCATAAACGTTCAAAGCATCAGGTGTTAACACACACAGAACCAGTCATTCTCGAAGGTTTGGGTGATGGCGTTTAGCCAAGACTCCCACAAGGGAAGCAATAGGGAGAGACATAGAAATAAAGAGCAGCCAGTGGGAGGAGGAAGGAGGGCAGGAGGGGTACGGATGAACAGGTTCCAGTGTTTTTGGTTTCCACAGATACTGGGATCGGCATATGCATGTGATCATAATTTTCTTCAGGACTCTGGCGTGTTCAGACATGCACTGGCATTGTACAGTAGCCTACGGCCATGAACACGCAATGGGGTAGCTGAGTGAACCAATCAGGGAAGAGCACCCAAGACAGGTAGATCTTCTAGCGACAGGTGAACCCAACCTGGGCAACATCAGATTCCTATTTAAATTCACCTCACACCAAAAAGTCTGTTTTTCAGGATATAAGCTTTTAAGAGGGGCTTGTGATGAAATAAGAAATGGCTTAAAACCAACAACAAAACTGCTTTAATACCAGTTTAATTACATTTTATTGTATACATAAGAATACGTGTATTACTGTGAAACTATCAGGTTCACTACATGTTTGTATGTTGGGCTTATAGACTTAAACAAACTTGATCAGTAAAGGATAAAGCAGCATGTAACAAGCCACATAAATAAGTTAAACACAAACAGATTAGATTTTAAATGTCATAGCATTTTCATTTACATTCAGAAAGCAAGAAACACACATGGGTTTCATACATGGAATCTACACTTTGTCAGCTCAACCCCCATGTGGTGCAGCAGGTGCGTAAAAGAGAAACAGAGTTCAGTGCGGAGTCGCGCTCAAGCACAAATGCCAGTTGTTTATATAGTGTTGGGATAAATGATGTGGTCAATACATGTACGCAGTTTGTAGTACACAGCGTGGCTCTCGCTGCTGGTGTCACGAGTGTGCGCGGAGCTAATGAAGAGCGGCAACCTGCTCTGTCCAAGCGGCGCGCTGTCAAGAGGAGCGCGCACAGATGACCGCCACCTGTCAGGGCGCGCAGCTCAAACTCCAACTTTTCAAGCGGTAACTTAAAAGCAGAGACCACCAACCGAAACAGAAAGCCTACATTTATTGCCATAACGTGTTGAGAAGTCTCGTTTAACAACATTATCCAAAGGGAAGTCATCTCTAACAAACGTGGCACTATAGGTTCATGCAAGTGCTCAGCTTTTTGGAACAGCACGAGTAACAATAAATAATCAGAGTTATAAAACAATGTACAGCCTCGTGTTAAGTGAGACTCACCTGTTTCGTGGCCGCCGAGTCATGCTGCTGTGTGTGGAGCGGCTCAGGGCGCGGGGATACTTTCTCTGTGTGCGCTTGGTTTGTTCTCGAGGACTGAGGCAGGTTGACATTAATTTAAACTGCAGCAGCCCCCACTATAGCTCCTCCCCCTCATGAATCCCCGCTAAATTTGGCGCTGCAAAACCATTTACAAAACGTGTGAGGGTGTTTGTGTGTGTGTGTGTGTGCGCGCATGCGTGTGTTTATGATAGAGAGAGAGAGAGAGAGAGAGAGAGAGAGAGCGAGAGAGAGAAAGAAAGAAAGAAAGAAAGGGGAGAGGGAAATGCTTATGCGTTTGTAGAGTTCTCTGCAGAAGTACAATGTTAACAAATTATGTGAGTAGTTGTGTTGACCTATTGAAGAAGTGTAATGGTTTCTTGTCTCCAGTGGATTAGCAATATCAAAAGTGTGGTCTGCCCCGAGTCAGTTGTGTCTAAAGTAGTTTACTGCCACTTTGTATGACGTGAATGAATAATGCCATGTGAAGTGTCTCCAATACACCACGAGAGTCTGGGTGTTATTAAAAAGCGCTGTATAGTATGCTTTAAAAGTGTTAAAGGTTCCTTATCAAGTATGTATTTGGCCTCTTTGCAGATGTAGACCATTGTGTTAACCTTTGCCGCAACAAAACTAGTCGAATTGTCCTAGAGCCACAAGACAAAGCAAGCTGCACTGTTGTCAATCTATAATCGCAGAAACATTGAAGGGCACTGTGCTGTGGAGGCGCGTCATTGGCGGCGCGTCCGCGCTAAAACATTGTCAACAAAAGGTCCGACTTCACTTTTCTGGTGAAAAGCAGAAGGAAGCTAGAGTATCTTCTCATAGTAAACTATTGCTGAATGTGTTTTTTTTCTCGCATTGCAGAACAATGAAGTGTCATTTGTTAAATGAGGGATGACTAGTGTTTCACAGATGTTAGTGCTTGATAATAGCTCTAAATGAAAGAAACCCGTTCTTATCGACTGGTCATAAATGACCACGTGCAGTAACTGTGACCACAGGACAACACTTTTACTCTTGATAAGGTTTAGGCTATATCTTTTAGATCCCAGAACTTTTGATCACCAAAGGCCTTAATTACAATGACCTTATTATTTCAGTAGAAATGTATTATTCATCCAGCTTTATCTATACTTCATTAGGTTTGTTTTGATCCTGGAGTACTTCAGTGTTTAGTCATCCTTTCCGTGCAGAAAGCAGGAGGGGTGCTACTTTATTTATATAAAAAAAAAAGATTTCTCTTTATTGTATTAGTTCCTCCAAATGCGACCGTATTGTTGTAGTCACTTTTAATTATCATCATCCTGGATCAGCCTTTTGTCCTAAACCAGCCAACACTCACAGTGTCCCAATAAAGGCCTTTACACACATACGCACTCACACACATACACACACACACACACACATACACACACACACATGGTCTCAGGCTGAACATTCACCATTATTGAGCATAAGACTGAAACATGAACACACCGCACAAACCGCTGTCTAATGGAAACAGGAGCGACCTGCTGCTGTTTACTCTCTGAATGCCGCCACTCTAAACTTCTGGACTAATGTATCATGGTTGCCTAGTGCTGTCACCTGTGGTTTCTAATCCTATTGAGGTACAGGCTATACACCTGTGCATAAACATTCTTCTAGCAATGTCTTCTTTGAAACAGGAATTAGATCTGGTCTCGCCTTTAAACATAAGACATGAGAATACAATGGTTTGTAACATGTGCTACGTATTCTTCAGTAATTTAACAAAGTTAATCAACTTAAAGGACTGTATTATAATACAATATTATATATGTTGGATACATTTCAAAAAATACTTGATTGAAGATTTGCTATAGTTTTACCTAAATTAACAAATCAGTGGTTTAAGTACACTTTGTCTTTCACATTTTGAATGCACTTGTTTTCCCCCAAGGGTCATATTAAAGTCTGCATCTTGTAATCTGAAACCAAATTAAAGGAAGGGAGCCATATGCAAATGAATCCATAGTAGCCGGAGCAGAAAGCCTGGGCCCCTTCGACTCTTGCTGAGTGAATTTGCATAGGCACGATTGGACAGGTTATGGGTAATGGCTGCCCCTTAGCTAAGTATTGTGTGCACAGGTTAGTTCATTTGAATGATTTTTAATGATTGCCCCTGGCTTATGATACAATCCCTTCAAGTTTTCAACTCAGGGTGGAAGAGCTAACAAATGCATGTTGTCAATTGTGCTGTCTAATAACCACATGTACATAAAATTGCTTCGGCAAAAGAATGATATAATGGAGCATGTCAGTGAGATTGTCCGCTGTTACAGAAGTCAGGGTCAGTGGTGTAGGTTTTGCATTTTCCCCCTCTGGCTAGTTCCTCTGAAAGACAGTCCCATGTTACCTCAGACCTTTGTTAAATAGTGTGAAGCATTACCTCATTCTGAATCCAACATTAAGACTGGACTCCTCACCATCTTTGTTCATGTTTGTCTTGAATCATAATCTGTAGTTGTCTTTGTCTGCATTTAGATCCTTGTCATCAATATCCTTTGTCACATTTATATTTATTGAAGTAAATATATTGTTCTACAAACACCCACCACAATAAGCTCATCATGCTTTCAATCTGTCCCTCCATCTGTTAAATCCACGTAATACCACAATGTGATGTCTAAACAAAACCTTTTGTGTGTTTTGTAATATATATTCATTTGAAATCACTTAAATCACTCGTAAAATATGTGTCACTCTCAGCAGGTAGGCATTCTGTAATACATATTTCAATTCAGACGAAAACCATACTGCAGCAAAGGTGCGAAAACTCACACTATAAGCGTGATTTGTGTACACTTGGTTTGGTACACATATTTTTTTGCCACTCGAAGTGCAAAAACGTCATCTTCAGACTATTCCACTCACTCAATACAGACATCTCTTTTCCATATCAGGTGTTCTTTGACTTTGGTTTCATCATGTCCTAGAAACATTTCATCACAGCAAAGGAAGAGATGCTGTGGACGAGGTCCCCTTTGCACACCTGTTATGTAAAGTGTATCTTAAAACATGTTTGTGTTGACATGTATAAGTAGCAGATGGGAGGTAAACAGGGAAACCTCCACCCACAATATATTCACACATACTGCGCACAGACAGTGTTTAGCGCAACCATTGATACAAACAAATGCATCTATTGTCATGACTAACCTGTCAATCAGGGTGTCTATTTTTCACACCCCCAGCCCCCAGCAACATGAGCCTTTCACTCTGAAAAGGTGTTTTAGAATTACCTAAGCAAATGTCCCCTTTATTGAAGCTCTATTTTTAGTCCAGGACACACTATGGACCTCATATTTGATTTCACCGTGCACATGTGTAAGTGTGCGTTTCAGCATCACTATAATATCAAATTCTCCCATAATCTTTGTTTGTCTAGGTCCATCAATAGGACAGGGCTTTTAAACCTGGAGGCCTGCACCTGCAAACAAGAATTGCAAGAAGTCTAAACACAATATCAACACACGATTAAACATTATCACCCAAATCCTCATTGAAGGAAAAGTGACATCACCTATTGTATCATTTTACAGTATCTGGTGTGATGGATGGATGCATTGACCTAGTTTTTAGCAAGAAAAGAAATCATTGGCTCAAATGATTGGAAGTAGAGTGAGGATATGCTGAATCAAAACACTAAGCAATTTGACTAAGATTAGAAAGTATACTCAGGATTTGCATTGATATAGAGAGTACAATTGCCAAATGACATATTCATGGGTGGGTCATGAAACATCCTGAGGACAGATCTGTTTTTCCATTGAAAATATATTAATCTCATGTGGCACTAATAATCCAAAATAATTACATAAATATTACATTTCGTTTTAGGAGTTAAATCTCTAGCTATGGCAACGCTCCTATTTTTCTGCAACCCCTTAATTAATTCATAAGTGTTATGTATTTGTTTTGTTTTTTATCACTGTCTATGGTGGGTACCAGCCATAGATCCATGGTACCAGCAGGTGGCATTACATCCGGAAGTTAAGTCACAAACAAAAAGGCTATATAATTTATCATTTAATTCCACGTGTAAATACGTGTTCTCTTACAACACACATATCCATACACATTATGGGGAAATAGTATCAAATGTCAGTTCTTCTAGTCTGACAAGGGAAACGCTTAGCTCTGCACTTTCCCAGTCTGGATCACTGATGAGACACATGTCAGCGCACTCTGAGAGCCGAAAACACTGAGAGTGGGGTCTGAGAGACACTTTCAAGAAAATGTCTCGACACAGAAATGTCCGAGGTTACAACTATGACGAAGGTATTCATTTCCAGCAGTCAATACGCTGTAAGGCGGTCTGAGTTAGCTAAACATTAGTTAGCTCCGAAGCTAACTCTCTGTGGTCAGTATTAGCAAAGCTCGCCTCACACACGTTAGCTGATGTGTCACTTTGGATTTTAGTTTGTGCGTATTAATTGCAAATCATACTATAAACACTTACTTTTAGATGTCAAATAGATTAGTAAAGATGAGTCAATTACCTAGCTTGCCACTCTGTTGATGTTTTGTTTATCATGACCAGCAACTTGGTACACTGCCAGCTTGTTATTGTTTATCATAACCTGACCAAATACGTTTATCCTTAATAACTTAACAATCAAATGGGTATGTAAGTTAAACGTGAATGAAATATAATGTTACTCGCTTGTTTTAGACTTCGATGATGATGACGTGTATGGGCAATCTGTGGAGGATGACTACTGCATTTCGCCAGCAACAGGTTTGTGTTCATTGTACAACATACCCCATCATGGTAGCGCAATATTTGACAAAATGTGTCTTGCTGCAGCAAATCAGTTTATTTATTCACGTCGAGAACTTCAAGCCCCAAAGGAGGAGACGTTAGAAGAGGAAGAATTTGAAGATGATGATGTGCCTATGTCCCCAACAGTCACCCATAACCTAGACCCTCTTGACCAAGGTAACTAAACAAATTATATCCTTAAAGATACACTATACAACTTCATTGATAGGGCGTCTACAAAATGCATGTCTCAATTGAGATGAGAGTGTGCGTTACCCTGAACTATAAACAGAATGAATGAATGAATTTCCCTCAGGGGACTATAAAAGTCTAGATTTATCTTATCTAGATCCATTGAGGGAGGCAGGTCAAGTAACTAGTCAGTAGAGGTTCTAATTGTAGTGCATGTTTGTCAAAGCATTTGACATGAGCTGTATACAAGTTTTAATGGATTTTGTTTAATGTTTGTAATTCCATCTTCATACAAGTCTAAAGGAAAAGTTTGGAAAGATGCATACTTCACTTTTTATGAATTATTACAGATTTAAATTTTTAATGATAATAACAGTAATAACAATTGGGGGCGTCAATGGCTCAGTTGGTAAAGCATTGGCCTTTGAACCTAATTGGCTGTGGGTTTCGATCCCCCCATGACCCATGTCACCTGCTCCCACTGGTGTCTGCTGTTGTTGTGTACCAAGGCAAGACACTTAACCTCACTTTGCCCAAAGCCTCTGCTGAAAATGAATGACTGAATGAATAAAAATGATTAATAACAGCTTTTTACCACACTCTCCAGCCAAGCTGTATTCGTGTCTGGACCACATGCGGGCCGTTCTGGGAGATGCTGTACCTGAGTCAGTCCTCAGTGAAGCTGCTATAAAACACGGATATGACCCACAGAAGGCACTGGATGCAGTTCTGTCGGGGGACTCAAAAATGGCACCACCTCCAAAAAATACCAATGAAGAAGTGGCAGGAGTTAGTATGGACATTACTCCTCTACCACAGCGAGTCAAGAGAGAGCCCGCCTCTGAGAAAGGTACATCAAAAACTCACCTTGTTTTATGCAGCAGTTAGAGTATTTAGCAAAAAAATATGGATTGATAGATTCTTTGTGGATGGTGATAATAGCATTCATCTTATGCCACATTTTTACTTTGTACTGTTGACAATAATTGGGCATCCCAATAACAATATTGTCTTAATATTTACTCTATAACAAGCGACCATTTTAAGTTAATTAAATTAAAGGTTTACTTTTTCTGAAAATATGCTTGTATTTTGGGTTCAAAAGTAATTTGTCATTGTGCATTTACTTTATATGTGTCTCCATTTTAATTTGGCCCATGTGTTTTCTCCTCTGAGCCTGTTGCATGCTAATACATGTTGAGGAAAACAAATCTGTGCTGGAAAATGTGTTGTTTTAAAACAATTTATATTAATTGTTGGTGGAAAAAACTCATTCAGTGCTTTATAGGTATATTGGATAGATAGACAAAATTCACTCAAATCATTAACAAGGTGCCTTCTTGTTTTGTTTTGTTTCTTGAATGATCTGCTCTCATGTCCCCTTGTGGATCCTTCTCTTGGCTTTCACTTCTCATCAACTGCAATGGGCTTTTGTTAAGGTAAGGAGCCTTCTTGTCTGTCTCTCACAATGTTTTTTTACCTGGAACTCAATGCACATCATTACCGTTTGAAAAATCCACTTATGGATTGTCTCCTAGTTTATTAGGAAAAAGCTCTGAAAGTCAAAGTATGGAGACGATTATCGGCAGTGGTCCGAGCCTGGCAGAGCTGATGTCTAAACATGCACAAAAACAAGAGTCCAGTCCAAATATTGATTCACCATTAAACACATCACAATTGCTGATGTCAAACCCCAACAGTCTATCTCTAGGAACTTTAGCATCTTTAAATTTGTCTTCCACTCCAAATACTGCCTCGTTTTCACCCCTCGCAGTCTCATTGAATAATTTGTCACTAGCCAACCTCAAGCCCACAACAAACTCTATAACTCCACCTCCTGGTTTCAAAAGTCTTTCCTCTCTTTCACCAAGCAACAATAATGAAATCAGACCCAAGAACGATTCCAAATTAGGACTATCGTTGGCAGATTTAATTCAAGAGCACTCAAATCGGAGTCCCCAAAATGTGAACATAATTTCTGCGCCATATAGTAACCCGCCTTTTGGAAATATTATTGCTCCCCCCACACTCTCTCTGTCTGAGCTGGCATCACAGCACCAAAACAAAAACTCTGCCATGCCAACTACTGGACCTGATACCTCAAGTGGCTTGCTCTCTTTGTCCGATTTAGCAGAACAACATCCAAAACAAAGCAAGCCTTTATTAACTCTTGGCACAAACATCGACTCGCCAACCCCTTCAGAGTTGCATGCTTTACCACACGCTGCACAGCGAGAGGGCAAAACCTCAAATGGGTCACCGTACTCCCTCGGCTCGCTGCTTTCCTCAGACAAAGCAGAAGATGCTGGAATCTCCGTACTAGGTGGGACTGAGCGTAAGAACAAACCAGTGACAAAGATCCGTCAGCTGATTGATCTGGGAGCGCTTATTTCTGAACAACAGGAACTTGAAAAACACCATTTTGAAATCAAGCTTCCTTCACCCTCCTCGTGTCCTTCAGGCCTTGGACTTGATTCATCTGTTTTTGCCAAACCCTCATTATTTGCCCTTTCACTGTCTGTCCGGAGTTGCACGAAACCCAAAAGGAATATTTTGGCTAGAAAAACTAAACAAATTGCAGGAAGATTTAAGATGGTGTCTTGTGAAGGCATTACTCCATTTCGCTTTGATACCCCTTCACCAGATGATATTGTTCGAGCCAATCAGAGCAAGGCTTTTACCAGGTAGTGAGACAAATGTGAATGTTTTATTTTATTTTATTTTAAACTGTGCTGCAAACCTTTTTGTGCTCTTCTTTCAAAGAGAACTACATTTTCAAGGACCAAAACCACTTTGAACATAGTAAAATCGTCACCTTATTTTATTCTTTGCTACCAGAAATAATACTTTTTAATTGCAATTTTTAAATGTTTTAAATCCTTTTTCTTTTAAAACATTTACAATGCATACTGTTAGTGGCCTCTTTTTTTACATGCTGAAACTTTGAACTTGTCAGAAAGAGGTTGATGTTCGCAGGTGTGCATAAGTCATTGGAATATGGATCAGTTAACCATTGTGCTGGTTTACTGCTGACAATTTGGCTTTGGGGGCACCTGGAGACTTTCCCATGAGCAAAAGGAACAAAATGTATATATTTCTAAACACAGACTTAAGAGGATAATTTTATCATATGAACTGGATGCAACAAACTGTGTAAACTAATGTAATAGTGTTTCTTACAAGTTTTGTTTTAGCTATTTTGCTTTTTTACTGTTTTTTCTTTTTTGAAATAAAAATCTTAATTTTAGATGAAAATAATTCCATGTACAAAGTTGTGTCTTTTTATTTACAGAAACATCTTCTTCCCTTATGTATTTCATGATTAGTATTGATCGAGTGACTCAGTGTCAAGGATGCTTTGTGAGGAGAGGTCGGCTACAGTATCATAATTAACTTTGTTAGCAGCTTGTCCAGCTGTCATCAAGTCCTTTGCTTTCAGTCACTGGTTTGTGTGTACGTGTGTGTGTGTGTGTGTGTGGTTTTGGGCAGGAAACACACTAGGAGAAAATGTCATCTGAAACGTACAGCAGCCAATGAGATCAGATGGAGTTTAGCCGGTCTTCAACACCTACATAGGAAAATCTGATCATGTCTCTGAGCTTTCACAGCTCTGTCAAAGGCCTCACAATCAAATTATCCTGTGACTTTCATGCAGCATTTTCTGCGCACTTGTTGCACAAAAGCTTTTTTGTGGTATCACAACTAGAAAACGACCCTTTTTCTGGGCAAAAGAGTTTTCTGCTTATGCTTGAATATAAGCAGTAAATAAGTTCCATCTCTCTATAGTTTTATGTACCTGTTTGAAGTGACATTGGGGTGATACCTCAGTGTGGTAATAAAGATTTAGGAAAATATGACAATAAACCACTAAAAAATGTTAAATAGTGTTTTAATAATATTTTTTGAAATTGTTGTTAATTTAGTTATTGAAGAATTTGTATAGAGTAGTATAGACTCTAAACAGGTCATGAAAAGGTTTTACTCTATTACTATTACAGCTTTAACTATAATACATTTATCTTCATCGTTGCTGACATACTACGACCTACTACGGCTTATCATTGGTTGTAACCTTGCATAATATACACATACTGTGTTATAAATGGCACGAAAAAACTAACTTGCACAACCACTCTTCTCTCCACCGGCTGCTGTCCCTTCACTCACTTAGGAAGGACTTATATTTGCATATCCTGGGTGTATTCTGTGTATCCCGTGCGCAGTTAGACCCTTAGGCAAAGGTGTGCATATGACTCACCTTGTGTCAGTCAATCTAAGGGTCCCATGTACTGGAGGAATCCTGGATGTTAGGGTTTGACTGTTTACCTTCTCTAAGCCTTGTCAAGAGAAACAGTTCACAAGGACTCCCTAAGGGCGAAAAATGATTAGGTCGAAGAAGTGTTTGCAAAGGGTGGTTAGACATTGCGACTTGTCTGATTGTTTAAAATGTTTATTTGAAAGGCAAAGGAGAGGGGAGGGCTTGTTTGTTTTGTCCTTAGGGTAAAATTTGCCATTGAAGGTGTGATTACAAGATTTTGATAAACTGAAAACCAGATCTCTTTTGAGGGAGAGGCGCTCGGCCACATGGGAGGAGCTCGGGGTAGAGCCGCTACTTCTCTACATCAAGTGGAGCCAGTTGAGGAGGCTCTGGCATCTGTTACAGATACCTGGATGGCTGTCCCTGCGACTCTGGAACGGATAAAGTGGAAAGGAATGGATGGATGGATGGACGTGACTCATGTGTTGCAGCTGATGTCATGGCGTGATGGCGTTGAAAAACTCAGAGGGACAAGATGTAAATCTCTCCATTAAGACTCATGTAAATCTTCACTGATTCTGAGTCAAAATGCTGTGGCCACAAACGCAGCTGAAAGTCGTCAGTCCTCATTTAGTTGACCGTCTTTTTGTGCGGTATACTGTTGTAGTAACCAAGGCACCAGGGACCAATATAAACTGTGGTCTCAAACCCAGTGGTTTAAAAAAATATATATAAGCAGAAAAGCAAGGTGGCTAAGCAATTTTTCTTCTAACGTACAATGTAATTTTTCATCTAGCCTTTGTTTATTAGAGTGATTTTTCATTGTTCTTTCCACGACTGGGACCAGTTAGGATCAGGGTCATTTCTAAAGTTGTATCCGAGCTCTGTGCCTCAAGGTTCGGTTGCGTTCATTGCAGACCCCGCTGTAAGCTTTTTGCTGCAGAGCTGTTTTTTTTTCTTTCTTACTGCTCAACAAATAACCGCAATGATGATAGTCGTATTTCTTGCCTCAAATGTTGTTCAAAAATCACATTTATGTCCTATTTATCGAATTATTGATCCGAACTTTAATCTTGAATGTCGTTTTTGTCGATCCCATAGTGACAAGCTCCACTGTTGCCACTATAAAAACCTCTTAATCCTCCTCATTGTTGAAAAATATTGAACTAATTCAAACTGTACAAGACGTAAGCTGTATTGAAAGTAGTTTTCACTGCATTCTGTTTTCCCTATTGCTTTTTAAACACTCAATGGTGCTGAACAATTACTGCTGTTTGTCCATGTTTAGAGCTGCAACTAACGATTATTTTGTAATCGATTAATCTATCGATTATTTTTACGATTAATCGAGTAATCGCTTGGCTGTGAATTGTGTAGAAAAAATTTATTTTTTCATCACAAAAAGCTAAAGTGGCAACACTCGAGGACGTATTGATGGCGTAAACTTAAAGTAAAGGTTTGTAACAGGCTCTTTGTGCTAATTCTGCTATCTGATTGGATGAGACAGACAGATATTCATGAAATTATAAAAACAAAGTCGGTTTTAATCAAAAATACTACATTTTTATGTCATTTTTGCTCTGAGTCAGTGTGAACCAGAAAACGATTAATCGATTACTAAAATAGTTGTCGACTATTTCAATAATCGATTAGTCGTCGATTAATCGATTAGTTGTTTCAGCCCTATCCATGTTAAACGTGTCTGAAGATGGCTTTTCGTCTGCCGCTGGATCCATTAACAAATTACAAGTTTCTGTCTGCTAAACAGTGTTTCATTGTCTTTCTGTTTTTCTCTGTTCTGTGATTGGTCCCTAAATCCATGCAAACATTTTGGCCAGGGTTTCAATGCACACAGCGACGTGGATAGGCCCAGTCTCAAGGACCATTCTATCTGCGAGATTATGTGGTTCTGTACAAACAGCGGTGGATCCGGATCTTGGCTGGAGTTAAGCCGAGGGCCCTGGCAGGATCATCTCGGCATCATAAAAAGGGAGTGACTGGTGTTGACAGCCAGTGCTCTGGCATTTAACCGGGTAAACTCAGGATAAAAGTGGATGTTTGTTAAGGACAAGACTGGAAACTGAAGTATTGTAGGCCCGTCTGTTACGAACAAGAAGGAGGAATGCTAAGTCTCAAGTTTAAAATGCTCAAAGACAAAGTATCAAAACTATTAACCCTTTAGGCGCACGTTTCCCCAAAATGTCCTGTTTCTTTTATCAACTTTTGAAGTCCTCTATATTTCAAGTTTCAGGGCTCCATCTTTTGTCCTTTTCACATAACATCTTTTGAAGAAACTCAGCCTTAAGTCTTTACTGAGGATGCAAACAGGTGTTAATTGTACAATATTGTACAATAAAACAAAGCTGTGAGATTGCATCTTCTTAATTTTGTATCTTTTGTCTGTTAGTTTTCCCTTTGTTTTGGGAAGCGTCTTTGTGTGCCCAAAAAGTAATACATTATTATTATTCACTGATGTGTAATGTATTGTATTTAAATGTCCACTATAACTTAAAGCTATATAAGAGGATTTTCCCAATTTTTAGGAAAGAACCTCCCTCTCCACTTTTTGAAAAAAGGCACATGCGCAATGTTCTACCTGCTCCCGAAAGGGAATTCCGACTAAAACGTTTGCAAGAGATATGCCCAAGCCCAGATCTCCTGTTTACAAGTCACTGTTGGCATCGCCAACACAAGCTCACTCTCCAAAAAGATGTAGATAACTTTTACTGGAAGTGATTTGAATAGAATTCCAAACTTTACCGGTCGAGTAGAAATGTTTGCGACTGAAGCATCAATGTAAAGCCCAACCAGTGCTTTACGCGCACGCCATTGTGTGAAAGAATCTCCCAAAAACACTCTGGTCTGTTTGTTCGAGCGTGTACGATGGTCTTATGTCACATTTCACCAGGATGATCATTGAAAGTTAGGAGGACCAAACGTCTTGATGATCGACCTGGAAAAAGAAAATCCTTCTAAATACCGGTGCAGTAAGCGTTTTTGTAAGCTTATAGACGTAGCACCAGCTCGAAACCACTCCCCCCTCCCATCGCCTCTCCACCAAACCAAACATCCAGCATTTTGTTTTCTTTGTCGCAGCAGAGAGAGTGGGTGGCAGACGCGAAATTGGCCTTTTCTGTTCAGCCCTTTTAGTTTTTAGAAAATCTGATAACTCAGGTGCGCGCACTCGAGAGAAACAGGAAGAGGGTGAAGGGTAAACGCATCTCATTGGTTCGTTGGGGATGAACAAATCCCATTGGTTTATTTATATCGGTCCGCTCCAAACAAAATTTTTTTTTTACTTTTTTAGAGGCATCCGTAGAATTCCAATACTATTTGAAAACACATGATAACTTGACTACCTTTAGAGTTTAGGGACGTTTTCCCACAATATTTGAAAAAATGACTGATCTTTGAGTGAGTACTGCAACAGTGTACATAGATGATGCATTTTTCCCCTAAATGGTCAAATAAGTGAACTCTAGCTCACTTAGGACTGGAGTGTGAACATGTTTAGCAGAACTGATGATACCTGGATGACGTTGTTTACCTCCTACATTATGGCCATAGACAGAATTTATTGACGCAATCAAAAACAAATCCACAGGATTCCACAGGTTTTGAGCTTTACAAGGAGCTATAGCATGCCTATATTGGCAGATCTGAAGTTGGCTGGATGACAATGAGCTTTTCTGCTTTTAAATTGTAGGTGTGTTTTAGGTCGCGCTCTCCAGTTACTCAATTCTTTTTTTACTGTAATTTATTGTAATCCCAGTGTCAACAGTGCCTCTCAAGAGTACTAATGCACCATGAACTTCTGCTCAATTTTTTAGCTTTATAACCATTTTTTTACTAAAAGTTTACACACATGTATCAGACAACTGATGACACGATTCTGTTATTTTGAAAATAGAAAAGTGAAAAGACGGGCATACAAAAGTAATCATACAGATTTTTTCTGAGTGCATTCAATTGCACTTTTCTAATGATTGCTGAATGTTCACACCTTCCTCTAAGAGTCCACCTGTGTGCTAAGGGGCTGCATTTCTCCAGTGGGGACTGGGAGAACTGTAAGAAAAAGGAAGAGCCAAATACAGTACATTTTGGAGAATAACCTAAACTTGGGCTAATGGGCTAAACTTTCTGTCTCTAGATGCGTAATTCTTGTAATCATATCCCACAAGGGGGTTCCACAAAGTATTAACTAATGCCCAACTTGGTTTTTCTGTTTTTTGAAAATTATCAGGATCATGTATCATTTTGCTTTCACTTCACAGTTGTCTGTTACTTGTGAACTTTCAGTAATTTTATGTATATGGTTGTTCAAGCTGAATTAATACTTTTGCAAGGCACTGTAGTTTATAATCTGCCTCCATTGTTGGTACTTCCTGTCAACCTACTAAGAATCCATGTGTTTTTGATGTTGTAGCATTATAAATGCAAAATACATTCAGTGTTTCAGAATGACAGGAGGCTTTTCTTAAAACATAGTCATTCAGAGAAAATGAGGAAAATGTCCTTTTTCCGGTGCTCACTTTGTCACCTCATTTTGTGCTCTGTGTTGTGCTCGTGTGAACATGTGTGTGTCATTTCAAAACGCACTCTATTGTATTGGGTTTTTGCTTAATGTATTCAGGCTTAGGGTTTCTAAAGTTGTCCATATTTTTGGAGGAATTGTTTACTTTAAAACAAGTGGAACAAGTTAATTGACAAATCACAACTAATCAATTATTGATATAGTTGTCAACTAATTTAGTTGGCCATATGTATGCACAAATCCTGGGGCATGTAGATCGTCGTTCTTTTTGACATCTCTTTATCTCTTTACGCTATCATCTTTTATTTGAGGTTACTTTCATCCAAATCCTCCAATTTCATGGCGACCAGTGGTTGACATCTTGTGACAAACTCACTTTTACACTGACACTTTTAAACCTAACCCTCCGCTTGATCTGTCCATCAACTGCGAAGGGATTTTATTCCGGATGGAACCGCCCTCAACACTCAGCACATGTCCCTTGTCACTGGTTGTCCCAATATTTATTGTTGGAACTCTATTATATAATAGGTCTTTTATAATGTATTATTATATTGCTATATTGTGTCAGACACAATACAGAGTATCCCACCTCATAAAATGTATATTTTAATGCACAAGGATATGGAAGGAGGCCCAGTGTGTACAGGTGCAGCTGCATGCACTAAACACCCTTAAACTAACTAAATAAATGATAATAGAATTACTCAAATTTATTCTTTAAATCATATTTGTAAAAAATATTTATAATCAAAGGAATAAATATAATTTTACGTTATCTGGTTTATCTTCCGCTTTGCTTGTTGCCTTTGTAGTTTAGCACCTTCAGTGTGAACAAGATTGTAATATTATAAATGTAATTTGGTCTGTTTTTTTTTTCTATTAGAAGGCACCATTTAAGAAAACGTATTATTATTAACACAACACAACTTACATTATATTTGTAATATCAACATCTATACAAAATAGTTATGATCAGTTCAGGAATTAAAAAAACCTCCCAGCCCTTTAAAAAACCATTTTGTTAAACCATGTCCTTATGTGTTTATTAGTGCCTCCTGCCTCTAATAAAGCTGACTATAGAACTTCACTAGTTCATTTGCAAAAAGGCAAACTGCCAGTTTTGAAATTAACCCTCTCAGTACCAGGATGTGATAGTACATTCTCAGCTCTGCAGCCCCAGTCAAATGAATCAGAAACAACTGGTGTGAGATGACTGGTGCTGCTGGTCATGAGACGGGGATGACAAAGCTGTGACCTCAAGCAGCAGTGCAACACGGTGAAAGTCACATATCAGATCAAACAGTTTCATCAACTCCATAACTCTATATGTATCACAGTAAATGTCTTGTCTTTACATTGCAGTATCCATTAGGTTTCAGCTTGCCATTTTTTTTACTCAAATGTGTAAGTTGATGTCTCAACACAATCAGTTTTTAATTTTATTTTTTTACACACATTTGTTTCAGTTGTCACGTTGTCTTTATCTCTGCTGATCATCCTACCTTTGCTAATGGTTATGGGAAAAAAGGGTGTCCAAAAAAAATTGACAAAACTCTTATCTTTGACTGTACTTTTCCCTGTTCCTAGCTAAAAGGGATGTTTCTCAGAACAAGTTGGACTCTGAGGTGGTTCCTAAAGTTGCCCGCATGACTGTGTCTGGGAAGAAGCAGACCATGGGCTTTGACGTGCCAAGGTAACTGAGACACACACAAGTCACACTTTCTAGAACATCCAGCGGCGTGCATGAATTTACTTCTCTTTGTGCAACTGCAGCACAGAGGAGAACGGCATTAGTGCGGTGCGTCGAGGATGCAGTCCGGAGAGTGCCATGGCAACATCTGCCCCGGAGCCCAAGCCACCAGAGACCCCCACCAAAGGGAGCGGAGAGGAGACCAGTACAGCTCCCACCCCCAGCAGATCCTCAGGGAAAAACAGACAAGCCATCAACATCAAGGCAGAGCTGGAGAAGAGACAAGGCGGAAAACCTCTTCTGAACCTAGTGGTGATAGGTACGAAAATAGAGAATTTACAGCCGGGGTACCAAACTTTCAAATCACATATCGAACAATAAAATCAAAATCCATTTAACTATTCCCAAGCTATGTTCCCACTCAGTTCAAAGGGCTGGTTTGCTAAAGATGAAATGTTTTCTAATATGGTGAAGACGACATGCTGTGGTCGGTTTTGTTCACATTTTACTTTTACAATAGTCTTTTTGCTGTGGCAATCAATATGTATTAAGTATGAAACAAAGGTACTAGTCCAGATTTAACATACATTTTTTTCATACTTAAAATGCATATTTCTGACCATTGGACACTAAACTTAACTTGTATTTTTCTACAATATTGTATTTATAAGTTCCACTCTCTTCTGTTTTAAAAATTGAGAAATTACCTTAAAGCATAAACCCTGAAGGCTTCCTTACATCACCACTGCATTGAGATTTACTACGCAAACTACATAAAGCATAACATAATAGCATAGCATAACACTAACATAAAGCAGAACTAGAGCGTTGTGGAAAATATGTGAAGATGGACAATACACACTACTTTAACAATTCCAGTTACAAGCTGCATGTGTTGTGTTCATTTTGAGCTGGTTTTGCTTAATCATACTTTCTCATTGTGATTGAGCCACACAAAACAATAATGCTGTGGTTTCAGAAGTGAGGAGGGGAATAAGTTTCACACCAACCATGCACGCACTTGACCCCTTTCTTCTCCTTGTCATTATTGTATCTAGATTTAGATGTCACTGATCCCTTTTTTGTTTCATAAATACACATGCATTGGCTGAGTAAGGCTTGGTTCTCTTTGTCACATCTTTCAATCAGTTTTTTCAGTGAAAGTGGCCAATGTACGTGCATGATGAGAAAACTGTTGATGGAACCAAAGTTTGAAATGAGTTACATAGACTTTGTTACATAGTTTTTTTTTATTTGTGATTTCAAGCCTAGGTGCTCCAGCTTTAAGTCACAAAGTAAAGTTATGTCTGTGTCTAGGCCATGTGGATGCAGGGAAAAGCACACTGATGGGACATTTGCTGTATCTCCTCGGTAACGTGAACAAGCGCACCATGCATAAGTACGAGCAGGAGTCTAAGAAGGCGGGAAAGGCTTCATTTGCTTACGCCTGGGTCCTGGATGAAACCGGCGAGGAGAGGGACAGGTACAATACAGATTAATTATAGCTTGACACATCTGTGCTGTACTTTAATGGCTATTATCTAAATATTTAATCCTCATAGTCGAAACTTTTTTTCTATTATCTTTTGAGTGTTTGCTTCGTTTGTGTTACGCATTTTATTTTTTCATTTTACTGTTATTTCATTTGCTATGTGCTATGTTTTGCGCTTGTTCAGAGGCGTGACGATGGACGTGGGAATGACCAAGTTTGAGACAAATTCCAAAGTGGTGACCCTGATGGATGCACCAGGACACAAAGACTTCATCCCCAACATGATCACAGGAGCTGCCCAGGTATCTAGCTCCAAAGCTATAAAGTTCTTAGATGTGTTTGAATGTTTTAAATGTGATGGAGAGCTGAGGTCTCTTCCACATCCTCCCGGCTCTTGCCCCACCCATTGGCGTGATTTGAAATAATAGTGGTTTTGGGTGTTGGTATCATAAGGTGTCATTGCATGCATGGGTGTGTGCGTCTGCTTTTAGGGCACAAATGTAATTTCTCTTTTTACAAAATGACTGTTTAGTCTCGTGGGTTGACTAAATACTTTCTTGTGCAGTATCTGTGTCACGTTGCATCTGTTTTACTTTGAAATAAAATGAATGAATAAGTGTTATTGTTGTCCAGGCTGATGTGGCAGTGATGGTAGTGGATGCGAGCAGAGGGGAGTTTGAGGCAGGTTTTGAGGCCGGGGGTCAGACCAGAGAACACGCACTACTGGTCCGCTCTCTTGGAGTCACTCAGTTGGCTGTCGCCGTCAACAAAATGGACCAGGTCAGTGTATTTATAACGACTTTATTACTACATTTTCGTTGAAGTTGATCAATGTCTAAATCCGATCAGGTGAAATTGACCTGCCACAATAATTTTAAAAATACCCTATATAATAATTTTTTGAACTGAATATAGGGTTATTTAGTCCATTTTAGACCAAAATTAAAATCACATAGGTCTACTTGAAGGTGTCACATTTGTAATGCATTTGTCTTCCACCAAAGTAATAGATTATTCACTTATTAACATCTTGAATTTATTCTATACTAAAACAGTTGTTTTTCTACTGATCAGTGTTTCTCACTTGTTTGCACCTAAAACAGGTGAATTGGCTAGAAGAGCGCTTCCAGGACATCACTTCCAAACTGGGCCACTTTCTGAAGCAGGCAGGGTTCAAGGCGAGTGTGGCTTCTGATGGAACACTCTTGATTAAAAGTACTTTTGTACATGCAAGGACATAAATGTAATGATATTTTCTGCAGGACTCTGATGTCTTCTACGTCCCAACCAGCGGCCTGTCCGGAGAGAATCTGACTACGAGGAGCAGCGTGTCGGAGCTCACAGCCTGGTACTCTGGGCCCAGTCTGGTGGAGCAAATCGGTACAGAGCCAGTAACTCGCTTCGCAGCTAGATCTATCCCTATAGACACACTTCCAAAACATATCCTATTCCCGTAGTTAATAGGACCTCTAAAAACGGATTTCTAAAGGCATGGGGTCTTGTTCAAATGTAGTTCATATTTCAATCTTCCGTCAAATGATATCGCTTGTTTTGTTGTTTTTAAGGGACAGCATATTGCATTTACTTAAAATTCTAATGTTTTTTAAAGCTTTTATAACTTATTTTAATCTTTCTCTAGATTCCTTCAAGGCACCTCAGAGATCCACTGACAAATCTTTCCGACTGTGTGTGTCAGATGTGTTTAAAGGTATACAACATCACATTATTGCACAACATTGGCTTCATGACGTGTGTTTACATGAGGTGTGTGTGTGTGTGTGTGTGTGCGCACTCGCAGACCAGGGCTCAGGCTTCTGTGTGACTGGGAAGGTCGAGGCAGGTTACGTTCAGACTGGAGACCGGATACTGGCCATGCCCCCGAACGAAACCTGCACCGTCAAAGGTACGGCTCACTGTGGCAACGGCATTAATATAGAATCTGCCTAAAATAAGTTTGCACCCTTCTGTAAAGTGTCACAACCTGTAATGTCTCAATCCCCCCCTCCATTATTAAATGGATTGAATTCATAATCAGGAGTAGTGCAAAACATGGTCAAATCAGCCTGAAAATCATAGTGTCGGCCAATTTTATGCAGCCGATTTTAACACCAGAAATGCATAATAATAATAATAATAATAATAATAATAATTATTATTATAATAATTATTATTATTATTATTATTATTATTATTATTATTATTATTTCTGTTGTCTTTTGTATTCAAGTTTCTGTTTGTTGGATATAACATTAAACATTGTATCATGACTACCTCCTTGTGGACACTCAGGAATAACGCTTCACGATGAGCCTCTGGACTGGGCTGCAGCTGGAGATCACGTCAGTCTGACGCTCACAGGGATGGACATCATCAAGATCAAGTATGACAGATATCATGCAATACATTCTACATATCCTAATATTTTTAATTTTGGTTTTATTTTTTGTCTGGTTCCAGTGTTGGCTGTGTGTTTTGTGATCCCAAGGAGTCAATCCGAGCCTGCACAAGATTCAGAGCGCGTATTCTCCTCTTCAACATAGAAGTGCCGATAACCCAAGGCTTTCCGGTATGCAAGCCTCTACATATCTAAATATATCAGCACTCATCCTAAAGTCAATTTATTTTGAGCCCATGAGGAGGGTTGGTTTCAGAATGTTTTTATTATGGTTCTTCACAAACCCAATCAGATGATTTAGCATATTTAGCAAAATGTATTATTAGAGAAGTAACTGCATTCGATCCCTATTCTTCTGTGTTGAAGACTCTGAACACCCACCTTTCTTCACATACTCAGCAGCTCTGATCTGTAGTTCCTGGCTAACCATAGGCAAAGCAACATAGCCCCAGTGTACTTAATGACATTTAAAATAGTAAAGAATATTGACAATCATTACAACCTTACATTACATTACAACAAAGAACATTATTCTTGTTCAGGTGTTGCTGCATTACCAGACAGTCAGTGAACCAGCCACAATCAAGAAGCTGATCAGCGTTTTACATAAGAGCAGTGGGGAGGTCCTTAAGAAGAAACCAAAGTAAGACGTGTTTCTCTGCCTCCGACGGTGACAAGCGGAGGAAGTTAACTGTGTGTTTTGTTTGGAGGTGTCTGAGCAAAGGGATGAACGCCATCGTGGAGCTGCAGACGCACCGACCTGTGGCCCTAGAGCTCTACAAAGACTACAAGGAGCTGGGCCGCTTCATGCTGCGCTACACCGGCTCCACCATCGCCGCTGGAGTCGTCACAGAGGTACTACTGTCAAACTGCTTATTAAGTCTCCAAGTAATGGGATTTCAATATACTGTACATACAATTTATTTTTGTATTAATGTATAATTTTTAAATAAATACCAGTGAATATTGCCCCAAAACAGTCTTTTAGGAACCATGTTTGACATGACTATTGGAAGAATGCGACCAAAGCTGGTTATGTTTAGTTTCTCACAAGTCACAAGTTATATTTATCCATTACTTTTTATTATTAATGTACTTGTATTTGACCTTTTTCTCGGATTTAAATTTTTTCCCTCTCTCCGCAGATCAAAGAATGAAGATTGCATTGCTGTAACTTTGGACAAAAACCATAAGATCCAAATCACATGCTATTAACAACATCTCATGGACTGGGAGCGTGACATCACCTTCCTTCACTTGACTCCAGCTATCACTAAACTTGAAATTAAGGTCGCAAACCACATATACCTGTTCAGTTGCAGAGTACACTACCAGTCAAATGTTTAGATCTGGTTTTCCTTCATTTTCAGAAGCATTTTTATCATAGATGATCACTAGATGATCACTGAAGGAACACCGACCAATGTGAACTAAAATGAGTCTGGCCTTCAGTATGTTTATACAATGTATAAAGTACTGAATGTAGAGGGAAATGTAATTAAAGGTGTGTCCAAACTTTTGGCTGGTATTGCAAATTCTTGGTCATTAAACACATTCTAACTCTGTAACTATTCAAACTGGGAAATGTTTGACAGAAGTTTCTTAGACTGAGCCTATAGCTGTGGATACAAGGGATCTGCTGATTGTAAATGTGTAATGTATATGTATAATTTTCTTGCACAGATTCAGGATATTGTATAGATCAGATACGGGGATACTATTCGTATGTAAATATGAACTTTAACCAGTGGTTGTTTTGAACTCTTACCCCCAGAGAGAGAAAAGAAAAAAGCAGCTCTCCAGACTTTATAAAATGTTTGTATATTGCACTGGTGCGCCTAATTGTCTTTTGGTGCACCAGGCACAACATATTTCCATATTATCTGGATGGATTCTATATAATTATTTGATTTTTGATTGATTATTTGAGTCTAGAGTTAGACAGCTGGACTCTGGAGCCCTGCTATTAAGGCTCACTTCACACAATTCTTGAACTAAACAACTGTAAAGAACAATTTTATTTGCTGAGATTTTTTACAACATGATAAATGACAGATGTTTCACTTCTTGTCTTTGACTAGTCATGTTGGTGTAGAACAAGTCTGCAACATGATCATTACATAGTCTTTTTTCCTCAATGGCAGAGTTTGGGAGACTTACCAGACACCTAAATATTCAACTGTTTAGTGAAGCGTATTTTCTGCCACAACCTCCTAGTAACTAAGGTGCAAATACAAAGGCGGCCACGAGAGGTCAGCGTTTTGCAAAATATTTTCTTAACGTCTGGAGAAATCGGCATTTGATTCGTCCTATACTAGATCAAGTTGCACAAAAAACTAAACACAAAATGTTAGTTCTTTGTTTGGAATATTCTCTATCACTATACCAGCTCCTAGTAAGTACCACATCAAAATATTTGAACTTCAACTGTTCTGGTTCTAAAGAAGGGATACAGTGAAGAGTAACCCAAAGAAAAAAAATGGAATAAAATGCCTTAATTCATCATATATTTGAATAAGAGACACAGACTGCCACAGAGAATGCCAAGTAATTTGTATAGCACATTTATTGCAAGCAACGCTCCCCATAGAAAGTATACATGTAGTTTAAATGCATAACACAACAATTAGGATAACGGAAGACAATTAAAACTTAAAAACTAATTTGCAACATGAGCACAACTCCACCCATTTAAGAGCAAGAGCAAAACAGCAATATGTCTGAATAAGATTGTAATATTAGCAGACAATATTTATTTTATTGCTAACTATTCTATTGCCTCAAATCTTTCAATAAATAGTTGGAGGTTTGCAGTCCGCCTGAAGTGAACGGTGTGCTCTCTAGGGAATCATTAGCCAGTCACTTCGTTGGGCTCACTCTTTGAACTTTGTTAAATGACCAGTGTTTTTCTCCCTCTGCGGATCTTGCAATCTTCTTGTATTCTGTCGTTCTTGCACACACAACATGGCAGTAACTTTGCTCAAATCCCCACTTCTGATTCTGGAGAATTTCATCGGAGGTGAATTTATTCCATGCAACAAACACATCGACTCCTTTGAACCGTCCACCGGAGAAGTGTACTGCAAAGTCCCGGACAGCGGCCCCCAAGAGGTGCGTCCCACAGGCTGCAGAGATCCATGTATATATCACAGGGGAAAGGGTCAAGCGATCATAGTCAAAGATTTCCAACTAGTTATTCAAGTACCTTTTGTGCATTTAAAAGATTGACTTGCTTACTGATAAACCAAAAGTCAAATATTTACCAATTAGGTAAAGCGGTAGGTGACTAATGCTCAAAATAATAAATAAGCTACTTGTTTTACTGTATGTTTTTGTTAATTTATTTTGTTGTACTGTTGTAAGTAAGTAATGCTGATTTACATAGCACATTTTACAGACCAATCCTGTTGTACTGCTGAACAAGAGCTAGATCTTTAGAATGTAAGTATAGTTTAGTATGTAAGAAGAAGTCACAACTATAGGAGTTTGGGACATAATGCAACCAAATAAAAAAGAAAGATATAAAGGCATGCATAAAAACATGTAATGAAATAATAATATACAAATGCACACAATAGATATTTAACAGTACAGCTTATAATAAGTTGTTAATGAGAGTCGTGGCTGGAGGTGCAGTGGTTTGTGTATAAGGAGAAGAGCATGGGTGAAAGAACACAGCCCTGAGGAGCTCCTGTGTTTGTGGAACATAGAACCATGGTGAGCGTCTGGTCATGGTGGCCGCCATCTTGGATTATATAACACATTTCACAGACCATGGTCACACAAAGCACTCTACAATGTGTTTTCATTAACTCCACATGATGATGACATAAGTGGTACAGCACAACAGCTGGCACATCAAACCTAGCCATCACTATCGTTTACCATTGTACATGGTTTACGGGTAGGGGAAATTGGAGCACCCAGAGGAAACCTATGTAGACACTAGAGGAACATGCAAATCTATTCAGAAAGGCCTTGTTCCTCCGATAAAATGATCTCAGGACCTTCTGTTTTATAGGTTTTTATTGGTAACAAAATATCTGGGAGAGCTCCAGTCTATAGTTGGTATGTGCAAGTGTGTGTCTCACCAGAATTAGATATTAATATTGGGTATTTTCTCAGGGGTTCTAGTTGATGAATGGGAAAGTCAGTATGATATTTCTGGATTAAATATTTTACAAATTGCTGTATTAGAATGTGCCTTGGATTCTTGTTTGCGTGTGTGGAGGTGGAAGCAGCTGTAGAAGCAGCGAAGAAGGCCTTTCCTGAGTGGTCTTCTCGCAGTCCTGAGCAACGAGCTCAAATCCTCAACAAACTGGCCGACCTGTTGGAAGAGCAGCTGCTTGAATTCGCTCAGGCTGAATCCAGAGACCAAGGTGTTTCTTTTGAAGTGGTGTTTTTTTTTTTTAAATTACTTCATTTTTCATGTATTATACCTTTTAAAATTGTATTGAGACACTGCTTAAAATCTTTTTCCAAGCTGTCCTGCTCAAGAGCCATCTTCAAACTAGGGCCGGGACAAAGGATTATTATCATTATCGATTAGTTGACATATTATTCAATTACTTAGTGCATATGTGAGTTCATTCACTGATGAGAACATCTTTACTTGCTACACATTGGTTTGTTTGAAATTTTTATTTTGTATATAAACACAAAATCTGTTCATTTAGTCATTTTCCAAGTCATTAAACCTCTTCTTTTTAAGTCTTTATGTAAAGTTAAACTATTATTTTATTACTTAATTAGTTAACTTCTAGTTCAAGAAACAACTAGTTACAATGAATCAATGAACTTGTTACATTCCGAAATTAAACAGAACCAGATGTTATATAACATTAAACATATAACATACATAAATCATGTTGACATAAAACATTGTTATTAATCATATATTAAAATGTCTGTGGCTCAAGTAGAGATGACCAAATGTGTAGTTCCAATCTGTTGGAGCAAGTTATAGCATTGTGTATGTGTAGAATGTACAATACAATACAACATTTTTCTATTGTTTTGTGTTCTAGGTAAAACTGTGACCTTTGCAAAAAATGTGGACATTCCCAGATCTGCGTACAACTTTCGGTATTTCGCCTCATCTGTCCTCCACCACACCACGGACTGCAGCCAGATGGATCACCTGGGCTGTCTCAACTACACTATCCGCTGCCCTGTGGGTGTGGGTAAGAACACACCTCAGCTTTGAATGGTTTTTAATCGTATAAATGCTCTTGTGTGTGTAGTGTACTTACTTCTCTTGTCTTGGCAGCGGGTCTGATCAGCCCCTGGAATCTGCCCTTGTACCTGCTCACCTGGAAGATCGCGCCGGCCATCGCCACAGGAAACACTGTAGTGGCCAAACCCAGCGAGATGACGTCAGTGACGGCTTGGATGATGTGCAAGCTCATGCAAAAGGCTGGTAAGGATGGGCCCAATGTTTTAGTTCAGGTTTTAAGATACTTTTTGTGAAGTGAAAGTCATCAACAGCAGAGGGCAGTAGATACCAATTTACCATATTATTATAATAGATCCATGCCATACAGTCTAACTCAGGGGTGCCCAAACCTTTTGCTTCCAAGGGCCAAAGTAAAAATTTGCCAGTGGGCCGCGGGCCAAATACACCAATATTATGCATGAAACACAAATAAATGTAGATTTGATCAAGTTCTTTTAAATGCATTAATTATTGTCTATCAGTGCAAATCACAGCTGAATGAATTAAATCAACACAGTCTTAGTGAAATGGAGACTCCAGGGAAATATGCAGGTTTGAGGAGACTACAGTACGGAAAGATTCCGGTCGGGTAATCAGGGTCCAGAGGAGGGAGATTTTCTGTCATGGCTTATTTAAAGGTTAAAATCATATAATAAAACCTCAAAAAGAGAACAGAAACATAAATTTTGTGTGCACCATGTGCACTTGTATATTGTAAATAGTAACTAACTATTTTAAATTTAAATTTATTCCTTAGAAGTGTTTTTTATTCTTTATTTTTATTATCTCTGTTGCACTGAGCCAAAGCAATTTCCAAGTCTATTTTCATATATTTATTTTGAACAAAAGTTTTTAACTACATTTGAATCATATTACTTTATCTTAGCTTTTATCAAAAAGGGGAGACATCACTGATCAATAGATCTGGTTTTAGCACACTTTTAAACAATACATTTTAACATTAAGTAATGAATTTAGGAACATAATTGCTAAGTGCATTTTCTAAACATGATCAGGTTTTAACTCTTTTAACTTAATATTTTTAACATAGGACAAGTATTCTCAATTAGTAGCGAACTGAATATTAAACTAACAAAATCAGACTAGTTAACCATGATTTGTTCCTGGAGTTTTGTTTTGTTTTGCCTAAACACAGTACAAAATTTATAAACAATCAAAACAAAGTAACTGTTAAAGAGGCCGAGTTTCCGCTCCCCCAAAGGGCTCTTGAACGCATCATAAAACTCCGCGTAAGTTCTGTCTGACATTCAATGATCGCGAGTGAGGACGGCGCTTACCGGCTTCTTTCATGGGGTTCTAGAAGGGTTTGTTTTGCACAGTATTTGTTGCTTCTACTTGCGTGGATCGTGCGCTGCGATCCCAGCTTGTCCTGCTTGAACTCACTCTGAAGTGTTTGTGTCCGTCCTTTTTAACACACCGGGTGGGTGCGGATTGCGCAGGTGAATAGTTCCACTCGCCATTTCCCTCCGGTGAGGAGGGGGAGGGAGAGTGGCAGTTCGGCAGCACAATCCTCTCAATTTGATAAAACATTAAATAGCTCAAAAAAATAATAATAGTAGGCTGAAAAAAAAGAACATAAAGGGGCCTTGCATCCAATTGTTTTGAAAGATGTGTTTGATTTTGAAAAACAGTTTAGTGCAAGTTGATGTGAACCATGAGTGAGGAGTTAAGTACTGGACAGTCGGAGTTCAGAGGGCGACCCTATGCCTGTGCGACCTCAGACACGTTACTGTTTGTTCAGCGTGGCTGAGGGACGCAGATAGAAACTTACAGCGGAGGTTGGCAATGTTTGGCGGGCCAACTGAAATGGTCTGGCGGGCCAACTTTGGCCCGCGGGCCCCACTTTGTGCGCCCCTGGTCTAACTGAAGTTGAAATATAAGAATAAAATGTTTCTTTTGTAAAGCAAGTTATGTAAATTATTAATTTACATACAAATTAAATAATGATAAAAAAATATATACATCAGGTGTCTTCAACCTTTTTCACCCAGAGAGCAACTTTCCCATGATGAAATAGGCAGAGAGCGTCTCCTTTAAGCGGCTCTGGGAAAAATATTGTGATATATTGGTGTGAAAGAGCATGATATTGGTACAGTCATAAAAGATGATAATGAATAATACAATCTGAAATAGTATGTTATTTAATTTGTTCATTTCTAAATCTTTTGGCGAGCTACCTGGAAGGGGTTGGTGAGCTACTGGTGGCTCCGAGCTATACGTTAGGGACCTGTGCTGTTTGTGGATGGTTGGAGAGTTCGTTGGTACCATTGGTGTGTTTTGGCGGCCTTGCTTCCACCAGTCTGCCCCAAGCCAGCTCTGGCAACATTTGCAGTTTGTATGTGGAGAGAATGAATGATTCAGGAAATTATAAAGTGACTTGCTGTAAATATCTTGCTGTGACTATTCTAATAAAGATAACCCTACTTAATAATCTATGATGTATTGCCTTGAGCGCAGGTGTGCCTCCAGGAGTGGTCAACATGGTCTTTGGCACCGGCCCCAGAGCAGGAGATGCTCTGGTCGCTCATCCAGATGTTCCTTTGATTTCCTTCACTGGCTCCACACTGACAGCTCAAATAATCACTGAGCGCTGCGCCCCCTACTGTAAGAAACTCTCTCTGGAGCTGGGAGGCAAAAACCCAGCCATCATCTTTGCAGACGCGGATTTGGACAAATGCATTGAGACCACTGTGCGCTCCAGCTTCTCCAATCAGGTGAGTATCTGAACGTTGTAGTTATTGGATTCCACACATGAGGGCGCTGTGAACACACTAAATACAATGACACAAGATGACCATTTCTCAACTTCTAAATGCCCACTCTGTTTTCAGGGTGAAATCTGTCTGTGCACCAGTCGAATTTATGTTGAAAGAAGCATATACCAGACTTTTATGGAAGAGTTTGTTGCTGCTGCAAGAAAGTGGAAAACCGGCGTTCCATCAGACCCCAGCAACAGCAACGGAGCATTGATCAGCAAAGAACACTTGGCCAAGGTTGAATTCTTTATTTTGGTTATCCAACACTTGGCAAATCCAAAAACCAGAGTTTCATTGTCGGTGATGCTGGCATCCACTTAACTAGAGCAAGTTAATCATCTCCTAGTGTTCCTCTTTCCAGATTATGTAAATTTCTACTACATGCAGTGAAACTCAATACAGAAGTGAAGAGTCATTCTTTCATAACATCCTAAAGTCAACACAAACACTCAAAAAAACATTCTAAAATTGCGTTACGTGCTCGTAAGTAATTGTAGATGCCTTGAAACTCTAAGGTCGGTTATATCGAATTTGATGTATTTTCTCTCGTTTGGGGCCAGGGCCAGCTCCACCCAATAAACAGACAAGGGCACCAACGAGAGGGCCCCTATGGCTCAAAGAGACAATATGTAATATTTTTATTTTTATTTTAAAACTACATATTTTATATATGTGTCCCCAGATATCCTTTGTTATTCTTAATTAAATATTGACATACTGTTCACAATATCCATGTCTACAGTTTTCATGAAGATTATCCAATCAGAGAGCAGAATGAGTGTCTCAATTGGGTTGCCAGTTTGTTTGGTGAAATGTAGCTGGTTTTTGGCTCTATTTTAATTTATTTTTATAACACAATTCACAAACAAAAATTAGTGTGCAAATTCTAGCTAAACCCCAGCAGCTGGATTGCATCAGTAATGGTGCTTATGTGACTCAGAAGTTGGATTGTAATTGTAAACACTTGAAGAATGTCACTGATTTAAGTTGCAACAACTTTTGAACTTAAAAAACAACTATTGAAATGACCTGAAGCTGATTGCCATGATGTGATAAAGAATTTGACATTTCATTTTTGCAGGTTCGCAGTTTTGTGGAGTTGGCCAGATCCGAAGGAGGCACCGTACACTGCGGAGAGGGCGTGGACCCGCTTCACCTGCCTGCGGCTAATGCTAACGGCTACTTCATGCCTGTCACGGTCATTTCAGGCCTGTCCGACTCCTCCGCAGTGATGCAGGAGGAGATCTTCGGACCGGTCACTTGCGTCAGCACCTTTGACACGGAGGAGGAAGCTGTCGCCAAGGGCAACGGGGTGCGGTACGGGCTGGCGGCCACGGTATGGTCCCAGGACGTGGGTAAGGTGCACCGCATGGCCAAGAGGCTCCAGGCTGGACTGGTCTGGACCAACTGTTGGCTGGTGCGTGATCTGAATCTGCCTTTTGGGGGCATGAAGAACTCGGGGGTGGGACGAGAGGGCGGCAAGGACTCCTACCACTTTTTCACTGAAGTCAAGAGTGTTACGATCAAGTACTAATAAAAACAACTGTATTTACAAGTCTGTCATGAGGCGAACGACGCAGACAAACATAATCCTAAGACATATTTAAGTATTGTGATAACGGCATTCAGACTTTGATGTTGAAGTTCCAGATTCACATACAACATTTCACCACAGCATGTGCTAGTTTAAATACAATAGTATTTTACACATTTGTTGATTTTGATTCTAAACAATTTACTGGGATTGCAAAGCTGTTTATATCCTATTGTTGTGTTGCTCATCCTTTATTCTTACATCACTGTGTAAACAACATAAGAAGAATAAGTCTGTTGTTCTAGGACTAGGCCTGACTGTATGCAGCCGTTTGGGAAAATGCTCTGTCCTTAAAATGCAGAGAATGTGCCCCAGGATGAGAACATGATCTGTGTTCTCAGCAGTGATCTGGAATGTCTCCATTCTACTCACAGTGAATGTCTTTATGTTCAATGAAATGCAACCTTAGAAAGTAGTTGTACAACATTCATTCAGTTCTCAAATGTCGTATGTTGCTTTTTCTTTGTTACCCATTCCAATAATAGAATAAACCCAAATACCTCTATTTTTTAAATGTATATATTTGTATTAGTTTTAAGTAATATATCGGGAATATTTGACAGCAGACTACTTTACATTCATTCTTTTAAATGCATGTATTTTAAAGGGCAGTATGTCAGAGCTTCATGGTAGATATGTTATCTGTGCCTCTGGACACAAGGTCAACATGTACACATGAGTTGCGTTTGTTATTGCTGATTTAATCTTGATTACAAAAGGCAGTCAACATAATGTCCACATTGTCTGTTTTTACATACCTCAAAGGTCCCATGTTACGCTTTTTGACTTTACTCTGCTTTAAACATGATCACAGTGCTATTAGTCCTTCATACACATGCCCAAAGTAGTTTTTCCTTGATTCCCTCAGACTTTAGTTGGAGAGCAATCTTTCTCTTTAATTCTTCACTTTGTTACGAAGCACACTTTCAGAAATAGGTCGAGCTCCAGAAGCCCGCCTTCAGGATGTGTTTTTAGGTGTTATTTATGTGAATTTGACCCGAAGACGAAGAATGTCCAAAGACAAATTCAATCACTACAACTTCTTAAACAATTAGCTTATTGCGCTCATGAACTGTGAGGGTTGAAGGTTTTTACTTTCCCAAATGTGGATGACGTTGAGAAGTTAAAGTCTCAGGAGGAGCCAGATGAAGCAGCAGCAGACCGGTACCTCGACACTCTGGTCTCGTGATCAGTGGTCGTGACACAAACCCCCGCACACCGCTTCATAGTACTTTGCTTCAGGAAGAGTAACACAAACTTCAAAGCTGCTGTTTCATTTGGCCATCACTCAGAAATGTGATAAAACCAGTAAGGGCAAAACCACTCACTGTTCTTTTCTAATGTTCTGAATGATGTTTCCCTCTGCGAGCTGCATAGAGGTAGAGTTGACCTGTTCGTGATGGTGATGAGATAATGAGATAATTGCCTCACAAACAGAAGCAAAACACTGAGGATAACAACATGATGTCATCTCCCTCAGATTTCATTCAGACTCACATTGGATACATGGTACACACACTTCTATACTTGGTCCTAAAGGATATATTCTAACCAGTATAGACATCAAGGTAATTCAGAGACTCAAAGAATACTGGGTTATCAGAACAGACAGGAACACCCATGCTGTACCAACGTTTAAAGAATAAATCAGAAATGCAAACCAGTTGTTCCCAATGATTGTTTTTCTTTTTAAAGCTACATTTTATTTAATTTTATTTTATTCTATTTTACCATCTTATTTTAATGATATTGTCTATTATCTTAAATAATAGACTCTGTTTGATGTGTGCAATCTGAGTGCTCTTATTTCCTTCTTTCTCTTCTGTAATGTGCGCAACGATGACACTGAAATTTCTCCACAGTGAGACGAATAAAGAAATATCTTAGCTTATTTTACTCACAAACGTTGCAGACCCAAACATATTTGTCTTTGTTCATGCCATAAGAAAGAAATAATTAAAGAACACATTAATTAGATAAATACATAATGTACATATAATGTCTCAGATTGATGGTTGCCTGGAATGAATGAATAATTAAATAAATAAATAGATGGCTAGTGCTTTACCAATATTCACCTTAGGTAGTTTTGAGTTTCTTGTGTGTGGGAACTGCAGGGAACCATATTGGGAGTGACCGGTTTAAAGAACTTATTCATAAAGACAGACACTGATCTTGTGGATTCATCTTCAGCCGATCACGCAGCACACAGTTCTTCAGCCAATTCGTTACAGAAAATGTGAGGTTTGCGGCTCCGTCATCAGGCCTCCTCTCTCGTCACCTTTGCTGCTGCCTCCAACATGTGAACGTGACTGTGGGGTGTTGCTGCAGCAGAGGCCAAATGTGGACCACGTTGCCAGCTCATTATCAGAGCGGGGCTTTCAGGGCTGGGACGTCCTATCGCAGGGGTCCTGATCACGTTCTCTGGTGGAGGGGTATGTGACATTTGCCACCCGCCCTCTGTGTTATGGCTTGGGCTGCATGATTGTTTTTCGAAAGGCACACAGAGAGAACGATTGAAACGATCACTGGTAGTAAGTAAGTCAGCCGTTTTAGTGGTGGTCCCTCCCTGTTTATCTCTCAGCATCTCAGAGGTGGTTCATTGAAAGGAAAAGACCAATTCATGGATCTACGTGACTTTGCGAACACAGATAAAATCTCAGACAGGAAATGACAACTGAGTCCAATCAAGTAGTGCAGCATGGCATGGGAGAGGTCAGGGTCTACAATCAACAAGTCAAGTAATGACGTTTATTTCTGTGTATTTGTGTTTACACTTACACTGCACCTACAACATACTGCATATATTTTTAATAACAACAAACATATTTCTTAGCTTATCTTATAAATGTCCCAAGATATTAGACCATGGGCAATCCTTCACTCTTCTGTGGACCACAAAGATTCAATTCAGTTCAATTTTTTATCTGTGATGCTCTAAATCACAACAGTATGGTTATCTTGGAGGATTTTACACAGTTGTAGATTTGCCAACACAGTTAAGAAAATCACTAAAACAATCACAGTTCAAACACACACACACATAGTTATAATATATAGACACTTCTGGAATCCAACTGTTTACATAATGTTCTTGGTTGAGTAAACATTTGTCATTCAGCCAACTTCAGCTCTGTTTTAGCTCATTGTATGAAGCTTAGAACAGCATAAATCCGGTCAAAACTATTTTACAATCTGGGTTGTCGTCGGTCCCGCGGACAAGTCTGGTGGGAACTAAGGCGGACCTCTTTCTAAAATGTTTGGTCACCCCTCCTCTAAACATTATTGTGGATCTAAAAGTTGAATTGTGGCATGTTTAAATTGGAAAATGACCTGGAAATCTTCTCCCATCTAGATTCTGAAAACCCGGCCCAGAAAGGGAAAAGTTTGTCCTTAGCTCATAGTTCAAATCCAACACTGACCTATATTTTCACTGTGATAGATTTAACTGTAGGTCTGTATAGAAGCTTTTCCTCACTCCACTTTCTGGCACACGGAAAGGGAATTTTCCATAACTTTTTTCCCTCTTTTCAGCTAGATAAGCCCCTGGAGAGTGTAGCCCTGAGAAAATGCTGAGTTCATGCAGGTTAAGTAAACTGGAACCCGGTGTATATTTGAGGATCAGTGTGAATGAGCTCAAAGGTTAGCTTCCACTGGGGCCTTGAAATTGAAACCGCTGAATCAAGTGATAAACGTATGAATTGGTTGATGTTACTGTAAATTTAAATTCTATTGATACATTTTAGATGCAATCAATGATTTATCCAAACGCCATTTTTAAAATACCGTGGAGAAATGTTCCTAAACCCCAAAAGTAGTCAAGTTATCATGTGTTTTCTAGTAGGATTGGATGTGACGAGATGCCTGTAGGCTCAAATAATAAATCATAAATATTTTGGAACGGACCGATAGAAAGAAACCAATGGGATGCGTTTATCTTATTTTATCTGATCCCCCATCGAGTTGTTGTTGAGTCGGATTTTCTAAAACACCTACAATGGCTGAACCGAAAACCCCAAAACTACCAATTTCATGTTTGCCATATTTACCCATTTCTATGGTTAGCCACTGTTGAGGCAAAGAATAAAAGATTAGATGAGGAAAAGGCGTTGTATAAGAAGACTCGGGACGCAGCCAGGGCTATGTGATAGTAAATACACATTACTAATAGTACGGTTGTAGTGCAGTTGGGTTTTGCTAACGGCTAGTTTGTTAGGGGAAGCTAGCGATTGTCAAGTGTTGCAGGATATCGCTCACAGACTTGAGCCCTAATGTAGATTAATGCTTTCACTTTTCAAGTTGGGAGGCTTCGTAACAAACTGCGTTATTACAGAAACGGCGTTCATGTGTCCTGGGAGTTGGGTTTGGTGGAGGGCAGGGGGAGGGAGAGTGGTTTTGACTCGGTGCTACTTGGATGCTACAAGCTAAAAGCTAACCTGAATCCTTTACTGCACCTTTAAGAGTGGCAACAATAAAATAAGTTAGATTAATTGATTACACGAATATCTTGCTCCCCTTTTTTGTTTGGTAAAGTTTATTGTTTTCCTATCTGACTGGACTTTTTAATATTGGTTTCTCATATAGAATATTTTAAAATATAAGATAAGATAAGAATTCCTTTATTTGTCCCACAGTGGGGAAATTTCGATGTTGTTTCGATATTTGTGGTCTTCTTGTGTCCAGGTTCCAGATTGATGACAGATGAGAACCGTTACCGAAGCAATCACCACATATAAAATGAATATATATTTTGAATGAAAAAAAATCTCAAAATGTTATACAGTGCCTTGCGAAAGTATTCGGCCCCCTTGAACCTTTCAACATTTTGCCACATTTCAGTCTTCAAACATAAAGATATAAAAAAATTTTTTTGGTCATAAATCAACAAGTGGGACACAATCGTGAAGTGGAACAACATTTATTGGATAATTTAAACTTTT